TTGTCACCGTTGTTGAGATTCATACACTGGTTTTTTGATGTCTGTGCGTGCCTAAAAAAAATGATTTTTTTGAAGTTTTCTTTTTTTGATCAGAACAGCTTGTAACAAATCCTTCCCAAATTTTTAAGAAATACAGAATCTTTTGCTGTGGAAACACAAGGCTGTTGTAATCAATAAAGGAAATTTAACTCCACGAGTAGACTTTAAACGAGTTCAGAGATTCAGGTAAAATAACGGTTAAGTCAGAGCATAATCATCATCATCATCATCATCATCATCTGATAACTTTTGCTCTTTGCAAAAATCTGGCTATTATAATTCAGTTATAACAGCCAAATAAAATGCAACATTAAAAAAGTCATGGGTCAAGAGCCCAACTAAAGTAAACACTGACTTCATTCATTCATTCATTACATTTTATATAGCGCTTTACATTGTCAGGGGTGATCTCCTCATCCACCACCAGTGTGCAGCACCACCTGGATGATGCGACGGCAGCCATAGTGCGCCAGAACGCCCACCACACACCATCTTATTGGTGGAGAGAAGACAGAGTGATGAAGCCAATCAGCAGGTACGGGGATTGTTAGGAAGCCATGATGATCAGAGGCCAATGGGCAAATTTGGCCAGGATCCCGAGGTCACACCTCTACACTTTTTGAAAGACATCCTGGGATTTTTAATGACCACAGAGAGTCAGGACCTTGGTTTAACATCTCATCTGAAGGACGGTGCTTGTTGACACTATACTGTGGTATTAGGACCCACACAGAGAGCACCCTCTTCCAGCAGCAACCTAGTTTTTCCCAGGAAGTCTCCCATCCAGGTCCTGACCGGCTCAGCCCTGCTTAGCTTCAGAGGGTAACCAGTCTTGGGCTACAGGGTGATATGGCTGCCAATTGACCACTATAATGGTGACTTAAAAATTTGGTGATTCTGCTTGTTAACATCAGGTGTCTTCAATAATGGTCAATCATTACTCAATGAATCTCTTAATTACCTCATTAACTTTAAAACTGCTTCAGTGTTACTTTTAACACTGTTGTGTGGACGCATATAGACACCCAGCAGTGTTAATTTAACACTGGGGATTTTGCTGTGTAAGGGAAACAATTCTTGATGCATGGTCAGCCACTGCCAGCTCTTTATGCAGAAGCTGTTCTGTTTTCTAAAAAACTGCCGGAACTGTGTGAAATTCACAGCTTTCTGAAAACGGTTCTGGTGCAGCACTTGGGTGAAGCACTGTGAGTGTATCTAGAAGGTGGGAAACATGGGTGGAATAGCAGAATCCAGTGATAAAAAAGCAAAAGATTGTATAACGTGGATTGTCACAGAACACGGCAAGTTTTGGATCAGTAAATAAAAAGTAGGGATGTACAATGAATTAATCTGTGTCTGTGAATGTTTAGTGTTCACATATGTGGTCTTAACTTATATTACCATAAAAAGGCATCAAAAATATTTTTAATATAGGTATATATACTAATTTTACGCTGTTCATCACCAATGTTCACTCAGCACTTAATTAATCACTTAATTACTTAACTGCAATGTATATCTTCTTTTAGTGAACTCAACTGAAATAAGTTGTGTATTAGTTTTAAAACTTAAATGGTTTAAGGTAATTGGTTTCCTCAAACGGTTTGAGTTACCCTAACTTGTTGGGTTTTACAGTGCACTGTAAAAAATTGCTGTAAAATGTACAGTAACTTACTGGCAATTTTGGTTGCCAATAAGACTGTAAATTTACAAAAGTACTGTAAACCAATAATTACAATTGTACTGTACAAACTCTTGTATGCTGTAAAATTGTTTTTTACAGCTATCACTGTAAAATTACAGTAGAAACGTTTATGAATGTGAGTGAAATTACAAGAGTGCAAGAAATTACAGTGAAGATTTTTCACTATTGTGATGGTGTGTAAACATTTGGTTAACTTATTTCATTTGAGTCCACTGAGAAGGAATATTTCTTAGTACAAAACTGCAAACACTTAATGTGTAATAGTAAAGTTACTAAAAACATGACTTTAATTAAAATCGTTGCAGTTTATCGTCAGCTATAGCACACATGTATGTGCTGAAGCACTTAACAAAGAGATCATCACTGCATCAACTCCTCAGTTACTCTCTTTAAATAAAGCAGCAGAACATCAGTGTTTGAGGCTCATCATTGACTGAAGCACAATGGTGACCCACTAAACTACATTAAACTAACAGATCTCTCTTTTGCAAAAACACATTAATACAGTTCAGTTCAATATTTACTCTCCTTATAGATAATTCTGTGATTAATTAAGTGATGATTGTGCTTTAGAGATGAACAGTTGCTGATAACAAGCAGAATCACTGAATGAAAGAGAAACACCAGAACTACAACTGACTTCAGCCACAGCCTTAGATGAAATCAACTGAAATACAAGACGTCATTAAATCTCCCAAGATCTAATTAACCAACTCCACAAACAGCATTACCAGCTTCACACATTACAATTTGACTTTATTTCTGTCATATATCTACAAAACGAAACCGAGGCTTTCTGAACCGTTTGAGGCTTTCATCAAATTGTTCCAAAAAATGGTTCATTACTTGAAGCTTTTTAACACAGTGCGCATTAGCGACATGAGGTGGTCAGACTTGGTTTCTCCAACCTATCTAATGAAACATCGTGGAGCAGAGATGGTTTGAAAATTGAGATTGTTAAAGACCGTATGATTAATTATCAACATGAAGTTAAGGCAGCTAAAGCGCAGTATTTTTCTGATTGAATTAATAGGTATTCTCATAATCCAAAAGTTTTATTTAGTACAATAAACTCTGTATTAAATCCATTAACACGCACTTATCCAGAACCTACTAAAGAAGCCTGTGATAACTTCTTAAAATTTTTTTACCAATAAGATCAAGATAATCAGAGCTAGCATTCAGCCTACCTCTGACTATTCTTTAGACTCTTCTTTGGGATCTGTATTCTTCTCTGAATTTGAGCCAGTTTCACTATCTAATTTAGTAAACATAGTTCAGCATTTAAAAACTACAAATTGTGCTTCAGATGTCATTCCTTCTCTTCTTCTTCAAGTTTTAGATGTTGTAGGCCCAAACATTGTTTATATTATTAATAGTAGCCTAGTAAATTGTATAGTTCTATCTTGCCTAAAACATGCTATAATACGACTTTGAAAAAGCATTTTCATTTAATACCCCCGCAACGAGTATAGTTTAAGTCAATGTGGAAAGCGTTTGGTTGATGATGAATATTGACCTATTGTGCGTCCTGTTGCCGAGCCGACCTTGATGTAGCCTAACGATTGACAGGTCGGGGGCGTGTTGCATTTTCAAGTGCCTTTCAAATGCATTTTTAAATCCACATTGACTTTATATTCATAGTGGGGTATTAAATGAAAATGCTATTGAAACATCTTATATGTAAGTGTCAATGCATTTAAGAAAAATAAAAGACATTTAAATCACCATTTTGCTACCCTTTTGCTGTACTTTTGGCTCAGAATGCATTCTGAAATTCTCACTGCATTTTGCTACAATTACCACGTGGTATTATGATGAAAATGCAATCCCAAGTGTCCTACCCCTATGTCTAAATGCATTTAGGAAAAACAGCATTTAAATTATAATTTTGCTACAGTTTTTGCTTGGACATGTTAAACATATCTAATCAATTTGTGTAATACATTTTCATTATAATTTTGCAACTTATAAAGCGTTAAAATATGTTTTTAATTTGCATATTAAAACTAGTGTAGGAAATGGCAAATGTTATTTATATAATTGAATTTTTATTTTGCACTAAATATTGCACATATGTATGGGAAAATGTAAATTTAAATACAGAAATACATTGCCATTTTACATATGCCATTGCCGTTTTGCATATTGCATTTCAAATTGAATTTTGCTACCCATATGCTTCCATATAACACACCCTGGTGTTGTTCTAATGCCGTATGAACTTTTTTTTTCAGACCACTAAAGGAGAGAAAAAAAAAAAAAGCCTGCTCACACTTGCCCATATAATGTCAGTGATAGTGACCAGCATGAAGATTTACAAAAGATACAATAGTATCACAGAATTTTCCAATGCGACACGTGTCATATATTCCTAGTGTTCTGGGGGAATATGATATTGTTTGGTGAAAAACAAACCGTAATTTTAATATATTGTTTAATGAAAATCCTGACCCTGACGTTGGTCTTTTGTGCTCGACTGTGCATTCATGAGATCCTATTATTATGCAGTTCACATCTATAGTCGTGGCCAAAAGTATTGGCAGTGACATAAATTTTGTGTTTTGCAAAATTTTCTACTTAAGCTGTTGTGGGGTTCATTCACATTGTTTCTACTAGTATTGGCAGTGACATAATCTAGAAACAATGTGAATGAACACCACAACAGCTTAAGCAGCAAATTTAGCCAAACACAAAAGCTATGTCACTGCCAATACTTTTGGCCACGACTGTACAAAAGCAAGTTGTGAGAAATAAAGATTCATTCAAATTAAATCTATGTACTTTCTTTTCTGAGGTGATTATATCTGTTGTGTTAATCTCAAGAAGTTATCACTCAAGAAGTCAGTCTTACTGTCATCTGACAACCAATGCTCCAGTCTGGATATACTCCATGAAGAAAGTACACAGATATTTTTTGGGGATTTCTAGGAGATATATTGCATGTTGCATTTTTATTAATCTTGATTTCTTTTGTGTGCTTTTTATGGGTGAATCAAAGTGAACTAATAGAATGTCATGAACACAGTCATACACAAAAGACCAACAGCCAAGGTCAGGATTTTCATTAAATAATACGTTCAATTTGGTTTGTTTTTCATATACCACCAGAAAACATGGAATATATGACGTGCATTGCATGGGATCATTCTGTGATACGTTTGCATATTTTTTCAAAGCTTGGTGCTTGTCGCTCTTCATTGCTGTGGTATGGACGAGTGTGTGTGATATCATTTTTGTAAATTTCTCCTTTTGTGGTCCGAAAAATAAAAAATGTCATACTGCATTAGAACAACACCAGGTGAGTAAATGATATGATTTTCATTTTTGATAAACTATCCCTAGGATATTTATCTCTGTCTCTCAGCTCAATGCAGTCTGCAAAATATTATAAATGATCAAATTAATTTAAGATCAATTTCAAGAAAACAGTACTGCACCCTAGAGATGAACACTACCCAAAAATGCTGCTTTGGCTAAAATAAATTAAATGGTGAACCCTGTAAATGGGATTTCCCTGCACAAATTTCAAAGTTAGTTTAATAGTTATGTTGAACTATGTACTATTGACAACTAAACAGAACCACAATGGAACCCACAATATTTTATTTTAAGTATTTTCTTTCTTTTTTTAATTTCATGTCAATCTCTAAACAACCAGCAGTAGATGTTGAGCATGGAAGGTCAAGTTGTGCGTGAAGGAACACAGTCCAACTTTGTCTCTGGCCTTGCAGTGCTGTTTGTATTATTGTATGATTTCAACCTCCAGTATCAGGAAGAGGTGGCATGCACCCTTGCGATTAGTCATTAGACATTAGCATGTTTGCCATTGATATATATGATAGAGTGAATTGTCACTAACTTGTCCTGACAGTATTTGTAAAGGACTTAAGTATTTTTTCCACAAACATTTTATACAGTTGATTATAGAGCTAAATGATAAAATGCATATTTAATATTATCATGTAATCACATTGCATGTGTTGCAATTCTCTGTGCTGTCTAATATATATATATATATATATATATAGACATAAACAATGTTCACTTGTTTTTTTTCCTGCCTTTTAGACGCTTTCTCGACGTCAACCCTGAATGTGCATCAAAAACCAAGAAAGAAAAAGTGACTTAAAAGAAGAACGGACATATTGTCACTTCCTGTTTGTTGCTGCCATGTGTTTTGAGTTTGAGCTCCATCAAGTTAATTCTTTATCGTCTATTTTTTTTATCTTAAAATCAATTGTATACACCATAATTTTCGTTTCTATAATGTAGGAATATATCCCCTATCGTATTCTACAACAAAAACAACCAGAGCGCCTTATCACTAGTTTTATTTTGATTTCCCGAGTCCGCTACTAGCATATAGCCCGTTAGCATCACCTGCGTAGTTGCCGCTAATCTCGCTTACATTTCTAATACTCTATTCACACACATTACCATTGTTTTACTCACTGTTACTTGCTTTAATGGCGGATGTGTGTCTACCTTTCAGTGCAGGTGAGGACACGTTCAAGAGGGGATCATGCTCTGCTTCAGTATGTCACAGTACATGTTGGCATTCATGGTTCCCTCAATGAACTGTAGCTCCCCAGTGCCGGCAGCACTCATACAGCCGCAGACACTCCCACCACCATGGTTGACTGTAGGCAAGACACACTTGTCTTTGTACTCTTCACCTGGTTGCCGAATGAAAACAGATTGGTTCACCATCTGAACCAAATAAGTTTATCTTAGTCTCATCTGACCACAGGACATGGTTCCAGTAATCCATGTCTTTAGTATGCTGTTTGCGGGCTTTCTTGTGCATCATCTTTAGAAGAGGCTTCCTTCTGGGACGACAGCCATGCAGACCAATTTGATGCAGTGTGCGGCGTATGGTCTGAGCACTGAGAGGCTGACCCCCCACCCCTTCAACCTCTGCAGCAATGCTGGCAGCACTCATACGTCTATTTCCCAAACACAACCTCTGGATATGACGCTGAGCACGTGCACTCAACTTCTTTGGTCGACCATGGCGAGGCCTGTTCTGAGTGGAACCTGTCCTGTTAAACCACTGTATGGTCTTGGCCACCGTGCTGCAGCTCAGTTTCAGGGTCTTGGCAATCTTCTTATAGCCTACGCCATCTTTATGTAGAGCAACAATTCTTTTTTTCAAATCCTCAGAGTTCTTTGCCATGAGGTGCCATGTTGAACTTCCAGTGACCAGTATGAGAGAGTGAGAGCGATAACACCAAATTTAACACACCTGCTCTCCATTCACACCTGAGACCTTGTAACACTAATGAGTCATATGACAACGGGGAGAGAAAATGGCTAATAGGGCCCAATTTGGACATTTTCACTTAGGGGTGTACTCACTTTTGTGGCTAGCGGTTTAGACATTGTTTAGCGGTCAAAACAACACTGATGTTTTTCTGCTTTATTTAAAGAGAGTAACTGTGGAGTTGATGCAGTGATGATCTCTTTGTTAAGTGCTTCAACATATGCGTGTGTGCTATAGCTGACGATAAACTACAACGATTTGAATTAAAATCATGTTTTTATTAACTTTACTATTACACATTGAGTGTTTGCAGTTTTATACTAAGAAATATTCCTTCTCAGTGGACTCAAATGAAATAAGTTAACCAAATGTTTACACACCTCTTTGCCATGAGGTGCCATGTTGAACTTCCAGTGACCAGTATGAGAGAGTGAGAGCGATAACACCAAATTTAACACACCTGCTCTCCATTCACACCTGAGACCTTGTAACACTAATGAGTCATATGACAACGGGGAGAGAAAATGGCTAATAGGGCCCAATTTGGACATTTTCACTTAGGGGTGTACTCACTTTTGTGGCTAGCGGTTTAGACTTTGTTTAGCGGTCAAAACAACACTGATGTTTTTCTGCTTTATTTAAAGAGAGTAACTGTGGAGTTGATGCAGTGATGATCTCTTTGTTAAGTGCTTCAACATATGCGTGTGTGCTATAGCTGATGATAAACTACAACGATTTGAATTAAAATCATGTTTTTATTAACTTTACTATTACACATTGAGTGTTTGCAGTTTTATACTAAGAAATATTCCTTCTCAGTGGACTCAAATGAAATAAGTTAACCAAATGTTTACACACCATCACAGGAGTGAAAAATCTTCACTGTAATTTCTTGTGCTCTTGTAGTTTCACTCACATTCATAAACGTTTATACTGTAATTTTACAGTGATAGCTGTAAAAAACTATTTTACAGCATACTAGAGTTTGCTGTATTTTTACAGTACAATTGCAATTACTGATTTACAGTACTTTTGTAAAAGTACAGTCTTACTGTCAACCATAATGGCCAGTAAGTTACTGTAAATTTTACAGTAATTTATTTACAGTGTGCTGTTAACAAACAGAATCACTGAAGAAAATAAAAACACAAGAACTACAACTGACTTCAGCCACAGCCGAAGATGAAATCAACTGAAATTAAAATACATGAAATCTCTCAAGATCTGATTAAACAACCCCACAAACAGCATCACCAGCTCCAGCTTAACTTATTAATAAGCAGACTGACTTTATTTCTGTCAGATGTCTATAGAAGATCTTATTGAGAATTAACTAAGGTTTAGGTGTTGATTTATTGTTTCATTTGAAGTAACCATGTTAGAGATCAGTGTTTGCTTTAGTTGGGCTCTTGACCATTGACTTCTGTGTTTGTTTGTTTCTTTTCTTTTTCTCCTTTGCCTATTGTAACCATGTGTTCCTGAAACATATTTGTTTTAACACATAAGCCCAGAGAAAATATGATCAGGTATTTCTTGTAATGTATTGATGATGGCAATCATCAGTTAGTGAACTTGTCTCATTCTAATAAAAAAAAAAAATCATATATAAGCATATTGACTGTTATTTAAATCAATTTGCATATATAAATCACACATATATTGTTCATATAAACGGTCTTAAATTACAGTATTATATAAAAATTAATCATATAAATATTTTTTATATATACTGTATATATATATATATATATATATATACAATATGGGTACTACTTTAGTATGGGTACTTCACATATGATGACCCTTTATTTGACCCGCTAACTCTAGCACTCTATTCTAATTCTATTCTTTTAAAAAAACGTGTCCCTTTTAGACTTGCAATCTATTAATTTACTATGCTTATTTTCTAAATAATAATAATAATAATAATAACACTAGCTTTTCTAATCTTTTTGTATTCTATCTGTTTTCTTTTTATTTATTATACAATTAACAAAAACAAAAAAGGCCTCAAACACTAGCTTGCTCTATTCTTTTTCTATTCTATCTGTTTTCTTTTTATTTATTCTATAATTTTATAAAAAATTATAAAACCTTGCTACGTGTACTGCGTTAAGCTAACTGAGACTTGTTATAGCACTTGCATATCATTGCTCTTTTGTTGATTTTGATTGTTTCCATTGTTCTCATTTGTAAGTCGCTTTGGATAAAAGCATCTACTAAATGACTAAATGTAAATGTAAATATGGCATAAACTTACAACTTCAAATATTCTGAGTATATATGTTCTAATAATATATTGCCTTATAAGAAAACATATATGACAACACCATTCGAAATAGGGACACGTCACATATTACATTTCTGTATGTGTTTTGCCTAAGCAAGCTGAAAATGGTTCATTTTATTTTATTGTTGGAACCCCAGAACCTCAAGTTGAGACATATTTCTGCTATTAAACCACTGAAATATGAGGAACCAGGCCCAGTAAAGAACACATATCAATCATCACCACTTTAAGTTCTCTTAAAACAGAAAATTCTGCTCATATGGCTGGTAATATACAGCAGTAATCATTTTTCAGTAAAGATTTCTAGAGCAAAACCAACCAGCTCTGAAATGAATCACAACATAACAGTGTTTGATTTAAAGCAAACACATGTTTGTAATTGATAAACAGGTACTAGACACTCAAGAGTGAACAAATTACCTCAAATTAAAATCACATTGGCTGTATTAATTATAATGCTAGGTCTTACAGGTTTATACGCAATTTATGAATAAAAGATAAAAATAAAATGGATTGTTACTTTCTGAACCCTACTTAGAGAAGTGCAGTCAAAAGAAAAAAACTTTAACTCTACAATGGGTAAGATGATGCAGTTTTATTTACTGCATCATGAGATCACTCAGTGGTCTCTCACTCAATCTCTGTGTATGTGTATATGCACCAATAAAAATTTAAAAATGGGGTGTTTCCAACCGTGTCACACTGACCCCAAACTAAGACATCAAGCTACACCTGTGCACGGCAGAAATCATGGTCAATGTTTATGGCAAAGCTCCTGTCAATTCCAGATGAAGACACAGCTTCCCAGGTGAGTTTTACATCTTAACCCCATTTGTTCGACCTTGCCTGCAGATGTAACTTCATTAGCTTTCACATCACACAGTTTGCTCTGGGCAGCAAGACATAAAATAAGGAAAGTTGTGATATTTCCGTGACAGAAGCTCTGGTATTTTTCCAGCATGAGTTCTCCTGGGAACAGTTCAGGACACTAGAATGAATATCACTGGAGATACTGAGTGCTGCCCGTCTGTGTTACTCAACTGTATAAGTAGATCCACTGAGAATTATTCACAGGTGAGCAGGAAGCACTTCCTCGGAGCTTCAAAGAGAGTGTGCGGTCAAAGATAAAACACATAATGAGCTGTTCACAGATGTTCATGTTTCAATGATGTTTGATTTTTTTTTTAGCTCACAGGCACTTCTGAGTTTTCATTAATTTACACAATCCTTATTTTTCCACCATCAAGGCCTATTCACAACAAGCACAAATATTAATTGTGAATGTTCAGTGTAAAACTACATTTGGAATAGAATCAATGTATACTTATGGACCTTTTCACCTCTAGATAGAAGAAAATGTTATTTATGAAGAGCAATCTAGTTTATTTTTCTTAGTCCGACAACAGACTTACAACGAACAACTGCTGTTGTTTTGCTTACACTCACCAAACCAAACTCAGACCTCTTTCAGTGACTCAAAAACTAAACAATGATCAGAGTATAGAAAAAAAAAGTTTGCTCTGTATTCACATTTTCTTTTTTAAAGAAATTAATTTTCTTTTTTAATCAGTTGTGACAAGTGC